ATGGGCAACGAGTTTCTACTAAAACATTTGACTCAACAATTCCTTTTCTGGAAATTATGCCAAAAAGAAATACCTGGACAAGTACATATAAAGCCAGCTACAGAAGTGATCATCACAGCATTATTTTTAATGGCATATGATTGAAAACAGCTGGACTATGTAACAAAAAGAAATGTATTGGTTAAGTAAACTGGTTTTTCCTTTCAGTGAAATACCAGGTGATCACTTTTGACATGAAAATATTCATGATTGCTTGGTGAGAAAGGCTGACAATATGCCAGTACAATAATAGTATGCTATTTTTGTAAAAGTATGTGTGTATATATTACATTTTTTGAAATGTAGAAAGGCCAGGAGGAGATAACTTATTGAGTAGAGGGTTTTAGATGGTGGGTTTTTTGTGGGTTTTGTGTTTCTCTGTGCTTTTTTGTGTTTGCAAAGTTTTCTCCATGGAACATGTGCAGTTTTCTAATTAGAACAAACTTTTCCTTTATGAGGCAATGAGCATCCATTGCTTTACAAACCAAAAATTACAGATGAGTGAAATGGAGAGGAAAAAAAAGCACCTGTCATTCAATGACTTGAGGGCTGTATAATCTCCATGCTTCTCACCCACAGAAAACAAGCGTCATTTCTTTGTCATCCAAACCGCCCTGGCTTGATGCCCCACAGGAGGCTGCTGGGAAATATCTGACCAACATTAACAGCAACATTAGTCTTTTTTCCTCTTATACTGACTACCTGCCTCTACTGTGCTTCCATTTAAGTATCCCCCTTTCACCCGGTGCCCTTCACACTGCTCTCAGGGCACAGATTGGTGTTCTGGAGGGATAAAAGTTAACTGACCAGAAAAATAAAATTCTAAATTGGAAGGTACATGGAGATCAGCTAGTTGAGTCCACTGATTTTACAGATGAGGAAACTGAGGTCCAGAGAGATTACATGGCTCCATCTGCATCTTGCAACAAATTAGAAGCAGAGTCAGGATTCAAACCCTTGTCCCCCAGCGCACTGCCCTGTGCACGGGCATTTCCTGGACCATGGTAGAGGTGGGACCCTCAGGAGAGGACATGATGTCAGCACAGAGGTCAGATGAGATCCAGCCCCTGTGCCAGAATCACCCGCTGGATCTCCCTTCCTGTTGCTCTCTGCCGTTCCTCTGGTCCAGACATCTGAGTGTAGTTCTTAGAAAGCCAGCCATCAGTCCCCCAAACCTGTGAGTTCCTAGAGGGATCCTCCATTTCTCATGAAGTCAGCTTCTTGCCAAGAGCACCATCTCTTTGCAGAGGGCAAGCCTAGCTTATGAACACATGGGAGACTGGTGGGGGGGTCTCTGTCCTCACTGAGGGGAAAGCAGGAGTTCAGGCTTCCTGGTGTGCCACTGTCCCCAGTGTCCCTGCCATATACAACCTGTGTGAGCTTGGCCCAGACTCTTCATCAGGAAATTAATGATAATTACCACGTATTTTTGCTTACTCAGTACACATATATGGCCATATGCTAAGTATTATATACACATCATCTGTTATTCTTCATAATAACTCTCCATCCTCCAGGCTACAGAGGAGGAAACTGAGGCTCAGAGAGGAAGGGGAAAGTACCTAGGCCACCAGGAAAGTCCTGATGGCAGCAAGCAGAGTGGTGGAGCTAAGATGAACCCCTAACTCCTGGGTCCTCGTGGCCTGTGCCGGCTGTTGTACGTCCACCTTCTGCATGAGGCTTTAAGCTCCACGAGCACAAGGCCAGGACTTGTCCAGCCCTATATCCAGAGTAGCTAGCCCTTACTGGAACTCCATAAACACTCCCTAAATAAATGCCTGCCAGGACCCTCAGCGCTTTCCTCTCCCTTGCTTTCTGCAACTCCCTGGCACATCTCTGTATCTTCTCTATTTCCAAGTCCTCTAAACTTATATAGGCTACCCAAATTGCTGTTGTTCCCTGCCTTTTCTGTTTATTTTTACCATCTCGGTTCTCAACCCTACTCACTTAAATGTTAAGACAATATAGGGCTTTCGAGGTTTCAGAGGGGTGAATTCTCTATACATGAAGTTTTCATTATGGGACATTGATGTACATCTAATGTAGAGGCTTTTTGTCTTCTTTGTTTTTAAAGCTTTTTGATTTAGTGTACAGAGAAGAGACTCTGCTTAATGTCATTAAAAGTGTCACTCGCAATGGACGGTCCATCATCTTGACAGCAGTTCTGGCTTTGATCCTGGTTTACCTGTTCTCAATAGTGGGCTATCTCTTCTTCAAGGATGACTTTATCTTGGAAGTAGATAGGTTGCCCAATGAAACAGCTCTCCCAGGTGGGTTTGGACCTTCTGATCTTGTTTAATATTAAATGAGTATTTCCTGATCACAACTGAACTAAAGAAAACAATGACTTGAGCAGTGTAGGTATCTCCTAATACCCAGAGTATGAATTTTGAATGCAGAGCTAAATGTTTACTTTATTCAGAGGCTGGTATAGCATATCAAATGCTAAGTGACAGTGTCCAGATCCTACATTTTAGTTAATTTACCAAAGTCGTATCTTAAACTAGCACACCTTTTTCATAAAATAATGTGACCATATATACTGTATTGCTTGGCTTGGTAAATCTACTTCTAGGAATTTATCCTTAAAAGAAAAATCTGGTATGCATGTAGAAACAGGTGTATATGGAAGGATATTCATTGCAGTGTAAAACTGGAAGCAACCTAAACGTACAAGAGTATTCCATAAGGTAATGGTCCACCCTGCAGATATGGTCCATCTTTATAAAACCTTCATGGAAAACCCCACAAGATATGGTAGTAATTTGCAGAAGAACAACTACAATGGGATCCATGTATATGTGGGGTTTTTTTAATCATAAACCTCATTTATGTATTTTAAAATATGGAAACATGTACCCCCAAACTGCTATCAGTACCCACTCTGGGGTCTTTTTCACTATCTGCAGGTTCTGCAATGAACTTAATGTGATTTTTATGTATCGCAGGAACAGAAGAGATTTCCAATATTGAGAATGAATTAAAGTGATAATGTACTTGACTGATCCTTCAGAATAGGGAACACTACTACTAAGTGACAGATTACTGTTTTTTCATCAGGTGACCCTGCGTGCAAGAGATAAACTAGAATTGTTGTGACTGACTAAGGCAGGCAGCCTTTTCTCCCTCCCAAATGCTATAAAAAGCATGTAACTTCAGCTTCCACATTGACACTAAATAGCATTTACTGCCAGCCATCTCAGGGTTTTGAACTAACCTGGTTTGGACCTCGGATTTCTGTTAATTTCTGATACTTCTCATGCAGAACTGGTATGCATCTTGCTGCAGTCTGTACACTCAGTAGTATTTGTCAGCAAGTTTCAGCTGTTTGTCTTTAAAGTTGGAGAGGTGCTATTTAAGTGCGATATTTCTAGTAAGCCTACAGGAATTGACATTTCTGGCTTTTTTCCCATCCAGATCACCAAATGAAAGTGTAAATTGCATCTCTGCTTTGAATTTATATGCAGGATTCTAGGATGTTATTTATGTAAAGAATTGTTTAATCAGCCGTGAATTGGGGACTTCAAACATTTTAACTGTATGCTGCCAGATTGTTCCTCATAAATCCTCCTTGTCTTTCCCAGAAGCCAGCGAGAGTTTGGCAAGCGAGTTTCTGTACTCTGACGTGTGTCGGTTGGAGAGTGGAGAGAACTGCTCCTCTCCTGCCCCCAGAGAAGGTAAGACCTTGGATGTTAAGCCCCACGTTAGTGCCAAGCTCCTCCAGAAGCTTAGATGATGCACATGACATTGGAAGCAGATAAAGGCTGGAAGAGGGGGAGGAGATGAAGGGAAAAGAAGGCTCCGTGCAAAGAAAATACTGCTTGACTGATTCAGGCAGTATGTACTGAGTGCCCACTATTTGCCAGGGACTGTGTTATTCTCTAAGGTACAATAATATGCAGGAGGCATACAGGCAAATAGGCAAGGACTAGAGTTTGCTTAATGCTGCAAATAAGGATGGAATACAGAGGATAGGCATCCACCCTACTGTTGGAGTAAAAGTATCATGGAGGAGGTGATAGCTAAACTAAAACAGTAGAATCTTGGGTGGAGGAGGGTGGGGTAGGTATTCCAGTTGGAGGGAATATTGTGTCTAAAGGCTTGGAGGTAGAATACAGCATGTTTAGGGAGATACTGATCATGAAGAACAAGAGTAGCAAGAAATGAAGGCTGAGAGGTCAACAAAGGGCCAGATCATGAAGGGTCTTACATGTCAGGCCAAGGAGATTAAACTTCATCCAAAGGGTGATTGGAAGTTGTTAAAAGGGGAGTGATAAGATAAGAATACTGCAGCTGGAGAAAAGACGTGTGTCTTAAGGTTGGCAGCAAGGCATGGTCTCCAAAGACCAGTGAGAATGGGCAGCCTCCGATATAAAGCAGTTTATCTAAAGGACCTGCTGTAAAACATGGCTAGATTTAGCCCTCACAGTCTCCCCGGTGAGGAGCCCAGGTCCTGTGGCATTCTCCTCAGCTGAGACAAGAGATGCTCCTAACTCAGAGTATTAAGCAACTTTCCTGAGTCCGGGTGTCTATTCAGAGGTAGGACTGGACTTTAAAATCTGAGAAGGATAGGGAGCATTTTAGACGTATTAGAGGGAAAGGGATTCTGACGTGGCTGGAGAAATTAGCAGGGGTTAGTGGTGAAAACCGAATTGCCCCAGACAATTTAAGCTTTTTGAAAATATGTGACGCTTGATTCCTTAATTTGATTCTTTCTTGTTCCTGTCTGTCCCCCTGGTAAGATGACATTCAGAAAACATAATCCCGGAATCTAGGTATCTCTTCTCTCCCACGTTTGAAATCTGCTATCCCTGTGCCTCCTTGGCAGGCCTGGTTCGTGCAGAAGAGACGGAGCAAGATAAGGAGCACACGTGTGAGACACTGCTGATGTGCATCGTCACGGTGCTGAGTCACGGGCTGAGAAGCGGGGGCGGCGTCGGAGATGTGCTCAGGAAGCCGTCCAAAGAGGTAGCCGAGTCCCGGGGGGGAAGGAAGAGCCCAGGGGGTGGGGGTGGGCGGTGAGAGCACAACGCCGTGGGCTTGAGTGTAAACTGAAGACACTCAGGCACGGCGGTGGTGCGTAGACGTGCAGAGCGAGCTAGTGAAGGCTTCTTCCCGCACAGTTGTCACGTTGAAGTGGTACAAGGAAACCAGCTGTGTGGGAAGAGGCAGCCTCGCGTCTCCACTCACTGCCCCTGGGTGGCTGTTGCCCTCAGGGCTGGGTCTGGCCCACCTGACCAGGGCCCCCAAACTCCTTAGAGCCCAGGAAGCTAGTCTCCTGCACGGGCCACCCAGCACTTGGGAGAGCTGAAAATTTGGGACAGAAGGTGTGAAAGGAGCTGCAGTTGTGCCTTCCCGAGCCAGATGCCCAGTTTAGGTGCCGCCAGAGCAACTGCCGGGCGTGGGAGGGCGCTGCGGAGTCCGCGTGCCGGCCGTGCACCTGCCTGGCTGGAGCCGCAGCCGCCTTGCCCCGAGCGCGCGGGCCTCACGGCGGCTGCGCCTCTCACCCAGGAGCCCCTGTTCGCCGCCAGAGTCATCTATGACCTCCTGTTCTTCTTCATGGTCATCATCATCGTCCTCAACCTCATTTTCGGGGTCATCATTGACACCTTCGCGGACCTGCGGAGTGAGAAGCAGAAGAAAGAGGAGATCTTAAAGACCACGTGCTTCATCTGCGGTGAGTGTGGCACCGGCCGCGGATGAGGCCGGGCCCTGGGAGCGCGGGGTGTGCTGCGTCTGCCCCCAGGGGGTCCCTTCTATGCCTCCGCCAGCCAGGAGGGCTCCCCCATGCCTGGGGATGTGGTGTCGCGCTTGCCAGTTCACCCTAACAAGTGAAGTTTGGGGTGGCAGAAATGTGACTGCACGTTATTTGAAATGAATGCACCGTGGGGCCTTTACCGCAGCGGGCTGCCCGAGCATCCCTTGGTCCTGTTCTAAATAATTAGACTTTTCATTCAGCTCCTGCCTGGAGTTGGCTTTACTGCATATGGTATCAGGCTTTACGTGAAAATAAGTCCTCTTGGAGAATATGGTGAAAGCGTTCAGGGCCTGGGCTCAGGAGTCGGCCCTGGGTTCTGGTTAATCTGGATATCATCAGTTAACTTCCCTGAACCTTTATTGCTTGACTTATCTGTAAAATGGGTACAATCTGTACTTCAGCACATTACTGTGGCACTTGGGAGAGCTAAATTATGGAGTACTCCCTGCACGTTGTAGGGGCTGGATGATAAGTAGTAAATTGCTACATAACAGAGGTGCAGGGTACCAAAGAAGTAATTTTCAGAAAACTACAGGGAAATACATGTAAAGGTAAACTAATCATGTAGGAATCTGGCAGTTAAGAAATCTTCTAAGGATTATTCATAATATAGTTACTAAATACATAGATTTCCTACTGGTATATAAAATAAAAAATCGAGCGCTTTCCATTTAAGATTTAAATTCTTTGCTTTTTGCCCCCTTCAAGCCATTTAAAGCTTTTTGTTTTGACATAATTCCAGACTTTCAGAAGGGTCGTAAGACTAGTACCGAGAATTTCTATATATTCTTCTCTCGATTTTCCCAAATATTAATTTACTTCCTTTGCTTTATTCATACATACATACTATTTTTCTGAACAGTTTGAGAGTGGCTGACACAATGTGCCCTCATTCCTAAATATTTCAATATTTATTTTCTGAAAACAAGAACCATCTCTTATATATATATATATATATGCAGTATAATTATCAAACTTGGGAAGTTAAGGACACAATAGCACTATGTCATCTATAGGCCCTATTCAGATCTCACCTTGTATCTCAGTCATGTCCTTTATAGCAGATGAAAGTCACAGGGCATATGTTGTATGTCACTGTGCCTGCTTAACTTCCACCACATTTTTAAAGAGTATAGGTCAGTCATCTTGTAGAATGTCCCTTGGTTTGGGTTTCTCATGATAACACTGAGGTCATGAAGTTTTTATAGGAACATCAAAGAAATGTTATATTCTCCTCAGTGCATCGTGTCAGAGGGCACATGCTGCCCGTTCATCTTACAACTGGCGGTGCTAACGCTGGTCAACCTGGTGAAGCTGGTAATTGCCAGGTTTGTTCAGTGAAGTTTTTTTCTCTCTAATTATGAACCATTTTATGGGGAGATACTTTAAGACTGTAAATATCCTGTTCCTTAAATGTTAACCTGCTGGTTATAAAAACTACATAACCTCAATGTTACCCATGGATGATTCCTGCCTGAGTCTGTTGTGATGGTTGCCAAATGATGATTTTCGTATTTTACTACTGTTTTTACATTTGTTAACTGGCTTCTTATTTTAAGAAGAGACTTCCTCTTTTCCTCATGTTTGTAGGTATATTTGCATGGGTGCATTTGTGTCAGCCCGGTTCATGTATTTCTAGTCAGTTGGGTGGATTATATTCCTTTACTGTCATTATTCATTCTGATGCCCAAATTGCCCCCAGATTTGTCTATTGAGAGGCCCTTCAAGCTGGCTTTGTGTTTTGTCATGCCACTACCACTTTTTATGTACTTCCTCACATTTTTAGTACCATGAGATATTCTAGGCTCCAGCTTACCTTGTACCTTCCCTGACCCAGCCCTGGTATAAGCCATTTTTCAGAAAAAGCTCATTCTTTTTATTGGAGAACAGCATTTAGAAGCCAAGATCTGGGGACAAGGTGTGCTCAGTACTGTTGGTGTGCCACTGCTCCTAGGGCCTGTTTGGGTGCAGATCTAGAAGGTACGTGTGTGTGTGTGTATACACTTATATAGCCACATACTTTTGTATCTGTTATATAATATGAAGGAGGATGAATGCATACCCACATTCAACATTATACAAGTATTCCAGTCATTCTCCTTCTCTGTATTTGTGCTCCCTTTGACAGTGAGAATTCTGGCTCTGATTATTTGCCAAACACTTACTTTTTTGCTCAAGAATATAAACAAACTCATTTCAGAACTGCTCATCCAGACCTCTGCCCAATATAACTTACCAGCTAGAGTTCAAAATGTGTTTAAGTTTTCCTGTCCTTTTTCTGTCCCCTCAAAGCCTTTCCACATTACACATTTTGGCATTTGTCTGGGAGAAGGGACCTCCAGGTGACTCTGGAGAAATGATCTGGGTGAGCAGGTAGGGTCCTAGAGGCAGGCCCCACACTCCATGGTTGCCTGCCATGCGTGCATGCATCCTGTGCCAATTTAACCCCGAACATGCCTGGAATCTAGATGCCAGCCTTCCTATTCTGACTAAGCAGCTAAGGCACTGGTAAGTGGCAGAGGTAGGATTCAAATCCAAGTCCACCTGACTCACAAACGAAGCCTGTGTTCTCCTACTGCAGTGTGAAAGTCAGTGCGTTTAGAAGCCAGCAGGATCCAGGGCTTCATAAAGATAGCAGGGAAAGCACAGCCTCCTCGGTGTGGGCAGCTCTGTTGGGGACTGGTCTGCGCTGTGGCCGCTCACTGGGGACTGGGCACTCTCTCTCTCTCCAGGCTTGGAAAGAGACAAGTTTGACAACAAGACTGTCACCTTTGAAGAGCACATCAAGGAGGAGCATAACATGTGGCACTATCTGTGCTTCATCGTCCTGGTGAAAGTGAAGGACTCCACGGAGTACACTGGGCCCGAGAGCTATGTAGCAGAAATGATCAAGGTGAGCGGGTGGCAGCGGTCCTGGGGGAAGGTCACACTGGGGCCTGCTGGCCTGGCTCCTTGGCTCAAAGCACAGTGCTGGCGCCAGTGGGGAAGCCACGTAGCAGAGGAAGACCATCGGATGTTTACTGAGCCCTCACCTGTGGGGCTCTGTGTGTCCTCTGAAGTGATCTTCAGAAGGACCAGACAGGTGGTATCATCTCATTTTAAAGGAGGAAGCACTGGGGTCACTGAGACTAGTGCACTGAGACTGGGGTTTGAACCTAGATCCAACTCCTGAGCCTGAACACCCATTTCTGTGTACTCGGCCTCTTCCTGGTAATGGATGCTTTTTCTTTTCTCCTGAAGTTACAACCTGGTATCCTTTAAAAATGAGCGCTCAGTGCAGTTCAGCGTGCGTGGCTGGTTGGTCTCTTGGGCCTCAGCCTGGCCTTTCTGAGAGACGCTTTTTCTAATCACCAGGAAGGGATCATATGATGAAGGAATGTGAGTCGCAAATTAATCTTCTTGCTGATGGGGTGCGTGACCGCTGCGTCCTGGGAAGATGGGAAGCTGCTGTGGGTTTTCAGAGCACCGTTCTCAGTCAGGACCAAACGTATGCTGTGGGCATCCCAGGCCAGCTGTCCTTTCGTACCTGTGGTTTTTGAACTTCATTAAAATGTTCAGGGGCATAGGGTAAACAGAGGAGGCGTGAGCTGTGAAGCCTGGGGTGTCTTTGTGATTTGCACGAGCTCACCTTGAAGGAGAAGGACCAGTAGCTATTAAGAAAGACCACATAATTTACTGACTCCCCTCCCACTGGCCAAGGATGTGAGCACCCTGCCCAATAATGAGTTACCCTACATGAACCCTTCTGTGTGTGTTTATGCAGATGTGATTTTAAAGCTTTGTATGTAAAGAAACCCCAGGTGAAGTCTGCTCCTACAAGCATCATCATTCACACCCAGTGGGCACAGGCCAGCAGTCGTGTGGCAGTGTCCCTGCACACACACGTACCACCAGCTCCAGGCCTTACAGCTTCTGGGGTATTGTGCCATTCTCCCTTCCCAACCCTAAAGTCTAATTCCGTGCTTCTCAACCTTTAACGTACCTCTGGCTCCTCAGGAGACCTGGTTAGAGTTCAGGGACAGGAGATGGTGCATGTCCAGCAGGCTCCCAGGGACACTGAAGCTGCTGGCTTGTAAGTCATGCTTTGAGTGTTGATTGTCTAAGAGAAGAGACAAAACAGATATAGATTTAAGAAATTATCACCCAGACTGGTTATGTGAGCGCCGAGAAGTACTCCTAATCTCTGTGTAGTTGGCCCTTATGGTTTATAAATCCCTGCCACATGTGTTACTGTGTTTGATAATTTAAATTACCCAGAGTGGGGAACCAGTAAGAGAGAACTTTGGGGGTGAGGAGAAATGGATGAGGTTTCACAGCAGAGATGGCCTTTAAAGGGTTTTGAAAGGGAGAAGGTAGAGAGACAAGGGCCGTACATTAGCAGAGGAGGAGAAAAAGACCAGATCCAAAAGGAGGGCAGCACGCAGCCCGTTTGCCAGATGAAAGCCAGGCTGTGGGCTAAGTAATTTGCGCAGGAGGAGCGCAGAAGGAGTGACCCAGGATGCAAGCCCCGGTTAAAGACTAGGGATCACATGGCATAACCTCCACATGGGGACTGCCCCGCAGTGCTGGCAGCTCGGGCCAGGTGGGAGAGCAGGGTGTTATTAAGGAGATTAGGCATTCTGACGGTTGCCTGTGCGGATTTTCACTGATCAGGTTTCCAGAGTGAGGACACATTAACTTAAAAGTCCTCAGGTCCCTTGCTTTCCTCCCGTTGTTGATACAGCTAGATTAAACCGTATTCTATCAGCATTCATGCCGACACAAAGCTATCTGCATAAAGGCTTTCACTTGCATTAAATCCTTCATGCACTGAAGAGATGGCCTGTAGTTTTCAGCACGTCACACTGTTTCTTTTCTCCACTCACAGTGTTTTCTTCTCCTGGAAGTGGTTGAATGTGCCCTCTCTTCAATCTTTCCCCAGCCAGTTTTGAAGCTTTCTGTTAATCCACATTACTTTATGATCACAGAAAGCTGGCACGCTTTCAGGTTTCCATTTCGATCACGAAGACTTAGAGGAGCCTCGTGAGCAGTCGCCTGATGCGCATTAAGAGCCAGGAGTCACCCCCGGGCTGGCCCGCCAGCCGGCTAAGAGCCTGCTGTGTAGGGATGGTTTCCCCATCCCCACCTTTTTTGATTGCATGAGAACTTCTTGTCACAAATCCTAAAATCTGTAGCATCAAAGAATTTCAACTCTAAATGTCAAAAACTGCTGAGGAACCAGATGTTTCGAGGGCTCAGGGAAGTGTTGGACCCCACGGCTGAAAGGCAGTGCCTTTTGGCCAACTCTTTTCATAGGTGTCTGGTCGGAGCCACGTGAAGCCCTGCCGGGGGCTCCCGGGACAGCACTGACCACGCGGGTTCGGAAGGCTGGGGTGTTCAGCTGAATCCTTCAGTGGACGGCTGGGACCCCCTGCGAAGTGAGCGCCACAGTAGAGCAGGTTCCGTGCCCATAGCGTGGCCCCATGAGTCATTCCCCTTGGAGGCAGCCGCAGTCAGTCGTCCCCAAGGAGACAGGCATCCTTCTGGGAGGACAAGCTAGGTGACCTCGTTGAGGCACCGACTCTAGAAGCTGCAGGTGCGCCAGCATTGCAGAGGGAGGAGCCAGCAGCCGAGCAGTGTCAGGGCTGGACGGGAAAGTCGGCTGGGGGCTCATCTACCCTGCTGCCTACCTTGTGTTCCAAAAGGAGTGACCAAGACAGGGCTCTCTTGGGACCGGAGTTCCCAGGAAAACCACCTCTTACTGAGTGGCCTAGGGCTGGGGGGTGTTTAATCTTAATGGATTAAGGTCCCCAGAGACTCCTCAGGACCTGTGAGCTAACAGCTGCCATCCCAACTGAACCAAGCAGAGAAGGCCCCAAGTGGTCAGTGGAAGGTGGAGAGGCTTCACAGGCAACCTGAAAGTGCCTTGCAGACAGCAGAGTCAGGGATGGCAAATAGGTTTTCATTTCAAAAAACCACCAACTGGTTGGTAAAATCCGCCCAGGGCTCTGTATTGAGAAGGGTTCTTAGAAAGCCCAGTGGGCTTTGAGAGCATGCCACCTGACCAGCCACGGAGCAAAGGGCTGAGGAGGGAGGCTGCCGCGCCCTCTGGGACTGGCCTGCAGTCCAGGCTCTGTACGTGGGAATAGCAGGCCTGCCGTCTCGGAGGGGGGCGAAAGAAGGAACCAGTGGACACTCTGTGTCACAACTGAGAACTGAGCAACCTGATGTTCACCAGCAAATTAATTGTCATCTAACCATAATAGAAGATTGTACATTCTCTCCTCTCTCCTCTGGTCAGTCCCCTTTCTAAGATGGGAATATTCCTGGCAAAAACAGGGCCAGGCTCATGCGTACCATGAAGCCATCACTTCCTAAGAACTGGACTTAGAGGCAGACAATTCGAACTTTGAGTTTTGGCTCCTTTTTAGCCATGTAATCCTGGGCAAGTCCTGGGACTTCCGTGATCGGAGCTACTGTGAATCGGGGTTAATACCACTTCATGTATCCATTGGGTGGTGGAAATAAGGTAACTGAGGGACCCAGGGGTGGTAGGCATCTAGGGGGGAGGGGCGTGCCAGGTGAGCCGGCACAGTGCAGCTGGCCGGCAGCAGCAGGGCCACAGCACGGACAGCCAACGCAGCTCCAGGACTGGGTACGACGCCTCGGCTGTCGGCACGCTGTTGCTAAGAAAAGTCAGAATGGGCATCTTGACTCCAAGAACTAATTCCCATGGAAAACCCCTATGTCTTCCTCTCCCTTGAATTGAAACTGTTGTGTCGAGGCAGGGCAAGGATGACGTTCTGTTTCTTTCTCCACTGAATCGGCTGCAGACACTCAACTTCTCTCCTTATGTTTAGTGGTGTCCCCTACACCTGTTCACTGCGCAGGGCCCGGGGCTCCGGTGACCTGCAGAGTGACCCCTAGAGTCTGTATATTAGACGCTGTCGTGCTTATATGTGGTTTGCAGGTAGATCTGTCCCTGGACTCCCCTCACGTGATGGCAGGTAGTGTAGGAACTGGCATTACCTTGGGATGCGCAGCCCGCCTGTAGCTCTGTAAGGTACAGACCACCCAGCGCCACTGTGTATGGCGACACAGTCTCAGATCCGTTGATGGGCCCCAGACAGGGCTGAGCTTTCGGAGAAATGGGACTACGGTGACCTCAGTTAGCCCTGGCAGTTCAAGACAGGAGGAAAAACCCTCAGTTTCCTCTCCCTAGAGGAACTTGAATTCCAGTGCTACCATGTAGAGCGTTGGTGATCACCTTTGTACCTGGCAAACTTTTGTTAACCCTGAATGGCAGTTAAATTTTTATGACAATTTCCATACCACACATCCTTTGGCAAATAATTTTAGCACTGTTTGGCTTTTTGCCAGCACTGTCTGAAATGAGTCTGTGTTAGTCTGTAATGATTTGATAGGCCATGCAATCAGATGTATTTAATCTGAATAATGGTAAATTCATTGTATGTTTGCTGAAGGAATTTAAATACCTCACAGTGGGCGTGTTGTAGGCAAAAAGATCAAATATAGGATGCCCAGTACGTACTCAGCAGCCCTATTATCTGTGACACTAAAGCTCAGGAGAAAAGCCAGTCTTTAATTTGACAAGCAGACTTAAGTTATTCTTGATGCTTAAAACTCAAGCGGCACCAAGAAGGAAGGTTGGTAAATAGCCAATCGCTGAAGGCATGTATTTGCTAATGAATTACAGATTCCCCTTCCTTATCTTGGAATTCTACCTTGTTAACATTAGTTGTATTTTCAGAGATGTGTGTTTGAGTGAATTGCATATAAAAACAGGGTGGTGAGATGGAGTAATTGTTCATCCATACCTCATCAAGCCCTGAGATCTTGGGCTGCTCTGGCCCCTCCTCTTCTCCCACTCACCATTTTATTGAATACAGACCTGAATAGTGAATTCCCTGGGGAGGACTCTGGCCCACAGGCTTCCCCCGTGATAGCCCGTGTCCTGGAACAAGCAGCTGCTTCCTGAGGGGCAGGCTGTGCTGTGCCCTGCCATCAGGAGGGCACACTGAGTAAGAACTCTAATACTAGGCCATGTTTGATCGGTGTGTACTGGAATAAATACTTTGCATGCATGGTCCCATGTAATCCCCATAACAGCTTTGTAGGCAGCCATTACCATTTTACAGATGGGAACCTAAAGCCCAGGAAGGTTAGGGCAGCTTTCCAGGGTCACACTGCTGGGAAGTGCTAGAGCTGAGGTTCAAATGCAGGTCTGCTGAATCAGAACCCACACGGGAGCTGCCCTGACATGTGCACATACTCCGTGGCTCCATCTGTGCTCACAGCACAACCCTCAGTGGCAGAAACCTGTGGCCATCGTCTGGCTGTGCTTGGCTTTCCTGACTTGGACTGGCTCACCTCCCAGGTGCCCCTCCCCACCCCAGCCATGCTGAATTAGCCTCCTCCAGAGAGGCCAGGCCTAGCAAAGGCCCCACCGCGGATAGGGAGAGGCTGGGAAAGAGGATCCCAGGTCATGCTGACTGGCTAATGCATAAATCAACAGGACAGGCGCCCTGTGCACTCTGCGTCTCGCTCTGCGGCCGCCCTGAGTGGAGTGGTTTGGGGGTTGGTCAGGTGACTGCAGTGCAGGAAGGGCACAGCAGAGCTCCTGCAAAGGGTGTATCTGAAACAGGTGTTGATTTTGACTTGCTAAAATCTGATAAACTTCCTGTCCTCTTCTGAGCTTAGAACAGGGAATGATATTTCCCTTGGTAGCTGTATTTGTGGAGAAATTGGTGGCTAAGTTAAAGAGGAAGGGCAGTTCACCAGGACCACAGCCAGACTGGGGCTTCCACACCCGGGTGACTCATCTGAATGGGTATAACTCCCTGATAATTAAACATGAGAGCGTCTGATCCATCATCCTTTAAGCCTAGTGCTGACTTTTTCTCACAGCTAGAGTGCACTTTCTCTTTCTCTGTCACACACACACACACACACACACACATATGCTATTCCATGGGAGATTTTCCCATCTGTTCCATCTTATATTGGTTCACCTGACCTGTTCAAAAACTAGTCCAACGGGGATGTAAAAGCAAAGAAGCAATTTGCCAAATCAAAAGCAGTATCATCGTGGCAGGCAGT